TCCCCACCCATCCTCCTTACTCAAGGTCCAGCGTTCACCTGCATATCAGGCTATCGAAAACCCCCTGGCTCCGGTCAGGAGCACGTGTGATGTCTTTGCTCACTAACACTTTAAAGCGCCCTGTGTCTCAGATTTGCCAAGCACGGTATGTGATTTCTTAGCTGCCGCTCCCTTCCAGGAGCCTTGGTTGCGAATCAGGGCAAAATGAATCCATGACAACTTCAATCTTTTCTCTGATGATCAGGGTGTTGCTGTAGGAACTACGAAACCAATTAAAAAACCGTTTGCCACCCAGTCTCACGGCGACCCCTGCTGTGCCCTGTTCCTGTGGGTTTTCTTTTTTTTGTTTGTTTGTGTCTTTTTTTTTAATCGTTTTATTAGGGGCTCATACAACTCTTATCACAATCCATACACACATCAAATGTGTCAAGCACATTTGTACATTCATTGCCCTCATCATTCTCAAAACATTTCCTCTCCACTTAAGCCCTCCTCCCCCCCTGCATTAGGTCCTTACTTTTTCCCCTCCCTCCCCGCTCCCCTCTCCCTCATGAGCCCTTGATAATTTATAAATTATTATTTTGTCACATCTTGCCCTGGACGATGTCTCCCTTCGCCCACTTTTCTGTTGTCCGTCCCCGAGGGAGGAGGTCACATATAGATCCTTGTCATCGGTTCCCTCTACCCTCTACCCTCTACCCTCCCAGTATTGCCACTCACCCCACTGGTCCGGAGGGATCCCGTCCATCCCATGTGGGCTTTCAATGGCTGGCTTGTCAGCTGTGAATCACCAGGCCTTTCCACCAAAGCACTCGGAACTTCCAACCTTTTGTTAGAAGCTATTGTGTGAGCCTTTGTCATCACGGATGGAGCCGGAATCAGAAACACAAAATGAACCAGGAGCGATGGCACGAAGGCAGGGTTCGGAAGACCAGCTTTTCTGGTGGCTTGACTTTCGGACATGTTAACTGTTTACACTCCACCTTCCCCTTCCCCCCGAAGAAAATTAAACCGAAAAAGGAGGGGAGAGCATTAGCTCATTATTGAAAGAGCTACCCTGTTTCCCCGAAAGTAAGACATGCCCCCGAAAATAAGATCTACTTACAGTTTTGCCTCTCGCTGAAATATGACATCCCCCAGAAAATAAGACCTCCCTGAAAATAAGGCCCCCGGAAGCTACTGTAACTCTGGACTCTGGACCTTAGCAGCAGGCACCGCCCCACAGCTCACTGTTGGCCGCAGTGCAGCTGGAGCAGACAGGAAGTGCGAGGTCTCTTTTAATAAGACAATAAGCAATAAATGTGTACCGAATTCTTCTTCATGGAAAAATAAGACATCCCCTGAAAATAAGATCTAGCGCACCTTTGGGAACAAAAAATAATATAAGACACTGTCTTATTTTCAGAGAAACAAGGTACTATTAAAACGTAGCCACACGAGGAAAAGAATTATTCGGTTCCTTCTAGATATTACCTATCCTTATCCTTCATGGGGCTATACGGAGGCCTGGTGGTGCTGCTGGGTAAGCATTGGTCGGTGGTTCAAAACCAGCAGAGCTCTGGGGGAGCACAATGAGGCTGCCTGCACCTCTAAAAATTGACAAAGCCTTTGAAACTCTACATAGGGTTATTCTGAGTCAGTCTACTCGATGGCAGTAGGGGTTGAGGGGATATACGGTATTCTAAGACTAGAAAGAGCTGTAAAGAATTTTTTTTTTCAGTGAAGGGGAAATACGCATGGATTAAGCCTTGAGTGAATGAATCCCTTTGAACACAGACCAGGGACGTGAATAGCCTTGCTCCCTTGCAGGCGCATTGGAAAGGAAGATTCTGGCCGTTGTGGTTAGGTTAAAATGTAACACCTTATCGTTTGGTCTCCTTTTTGACCCATTTCAAAGTTGCTCTAGTTTTTAACATTTTCTGCTTTCTGTTGGATTGGGGGTTTGTGTTTTTTTGTCGTTGTCAGCTTTTGTTTGTTTCTGTATGTTCATTGTTATATAAAACCCAGGATAGGCGAATCTAGAGATAGTCGCTGGATGAATGGTTTCTTGGGGGTATGGCTAGGGGAGTTGGGGGGATATGGGGAGCTAATAACAAGGAGTACCAGCAAGAAGAAAATGTTCTAAACTTGATTGTGGCCAAGCCTTGCCCCTGGATCCATCACTTGTAATTTTATGCTATGTCAGAGGCTTGGCCCTGGGCACTGGGCACCTACACTCTGCCTAGTTAGCCTGGAGGAAGTGGCATTTCAGGGGCCACCAACTGGCCACTGTCCCCTCATCCACAGGAAGCAGGTCTTGTCCGACTGGGCTCCCCGCCACCATGCACACATTTCCTGGGCTGATGCTCACAGGCGCTGGCCGTGCCCCCAACCCCAACAACCAAGACAGAGTGGTGGCTCCAGACCCTGCCTTTGGCTGAGCCTCCCAGATGGAAGGCCAACAGTGACCCTCTCTCTGGCAAGCCAATGAGAAGTCAGGCTTTGGAGCATCCAGGTTGTTGGGGAGGCTCCCTGGGTCTTCAAATAGAAGGGGCCTTGGTTAGGGATTGACTGTCAAAATGAGACCCCAAGTGGCCAGAATGCTTAAGTACTGGGCTGCAGAGAGAGGCCTGGGGGTCTACTTCCAAAAGACCGGACAAATTCACCGCTGTGAGCCCATTCTGACTCAAGGTGACTCTATGTAAGGTTTCCAAGGGCAGGGTCAGTGAATTGTCACATGGCTCTTCCAGCCAAAGTCCTTAACTCCCACCAAATAAACTTTTTTCCCTTGCGTGGGTCTGGGAAAAAACCTGATAGGATTCACCTGGAAGTAGTTGTGAAGAGGATTCCCTGGAGTCTCATCCTGCTGTGTATAAAACCAGCCCTCTGAGAAGCAGGGGTTGGGATCTCATGACCAGCAAGAACCATGAGTGGAGCTTGTTCTCTGGACCCGAGATCCCTGCACAGTGAGCATCCTGGATCCAGGTGACAGCTGTACCATCAGAGGAGCAGCAGCAGAACCAGGAGCCAGAGCAGGGCACAAAGTGAGGGGCTTCCAGACCTCGGAGCAGGTCAAGCTGAGGGCTTTTGTGCAGAAGCTGACTTGTGGAGTTGGGGGCCTCTGGGCACCTAATTAGGAAAGTTGAGCTTTCTGACCCACAGGAGCGGAATGCCTTCTGGCTGAGGCTTACCAGAGACAGGTGCCTCTGGCACGTAATTCACCGAGGTGGGTTTGCTGGCCCACAGGCTCAAGCACGAAGCCTTCGGGTTGAGGCTTACAGAGTGGTAAGCACTTTGGGCATGTATTAACAGACTCGATAGAACTTTATAACACATCCTGAGACACAACTCAACTGAACATTCCTCTGACATTACAACGCCACTCCCTTCATAAACCCTTTAATCGTGAATTCTGAGTTCTGAAAAGCCATTGCAATGGGTATTGGGCCGAGAGGTAAGAGAACACAAAGACAACGCAGGAAGGCTTTGTAAATACTTATGGGAGTCCAGAGCCTCATCTTCCTCCCGCAGAGCGGCTGGTGGCTTTGAACCACCAGCCCCAAGGTTCGCAGACCTAAGCTTACCTGACAGTGCCACCAAGGGTCTTTCAGAAAGATCGAAGCCACAGAAAACCCTCTGAAGCAGTTCCCCTCTGGCAGCAAGTGTGGCCATGACTTTCCAAATGTCTCATGGGAGCCTCACAGAATCCCCCCACCATCCCTCACTCTCAGGTGTACGGTTAGGGGGCTTTGCTCATCTGGCTCGAGACTGGCGAGAAAACTGTCTTCTTGGTCTTGGATTAAGGAAAAGTAGAACACCGTTGGAGAAGCCCTGGTGATGTAGTGGCTACGGGTTGGGCTGCAGTCGGCATGGTGGGCAGTTCAAAACCATTAGCAGCTCGAGGGAGACTGGGCTTTCTACCCACTTAAAGAGTTACAGTCTGAAACCCACCGGGGGTCCCTGAGTCGGCACTGACTCTGGCAGTGAGTGTGGTTTGGAGTACACGGTTAGAGCCAGGCAGACTGGTAAAATCCTCTTTCAAGTGGAGGCGAGGGTCTCCAGGCTGAAGACACATACCCAGGGTCACCCTTGGCTCAGACAGGACTAGACGGCAGACAGAGCCATTCTGGGTCTGGCCCCGGTTCAGACCCTGGCTCTGTGTGATCTTGGGGAAGTCATTTCTCCTCATCTAAAGGCAGGACTATTAATACGACCAGCCTCTTTGTATTCTTCTGTGAACACATCCTCGTGACAGGATGTTTCCGAGGGCCGTGGTGATCGAGCGGTGGAATCTGCGTCTTTTGTCCACAGTGAGATCCCGTGTCTAGCCAGAGCATCTCCTGGGCAGTCATCACTGTCAGTTGGTGGGGGCTTATGTGCTTCCACACTGAGAGGTTTTGGCAGAGCTTCCAGGTGCAGACAGACTAGGAAGGCAGGCCTGGTGATCTACTTCTGAAGATCAGCAATGGGAGGTCAGCAGTGGGAGCCGTGGGAACCACAAAGGTCTGATGTTTTTGACTGCTTGGTGCATGGGGGTCAGGTCTCTGAGAGCTTGGGCCCATACAAAGGTACCGACACTTGCAAAGCATTGAGAACTCTGCTTCCAGTGTGGCCCTGGGCTACCAGCTTCACGAGGGACTGACTGGGCAGAGATCCAAGGCCTCACCCAGCATGTGACACCCCCCCCCACCTCACATACACACACCCCAAGAGCCACTTGAATACACTTGAGTTCCAAGTATTGTTTTTAGAACTACCTCGGGACATACCGCAAGGCACCCTGGTGGTTGAGCAGGTGTGGGCTGCGAAACGCAGGGTTGGCAGTTCAAATCCACCAGCCGCTCTAAGGCTGAAAACAGAGGCTGTCTACACCTATGAAGAGCTGAGGTTCCACGCACCCTGCGGGATCTCGATGGCAGTAGACTGACAGGCTGGGGACATCGGTCCCAGCCATCGCCATCTCAGGGACCAGGTGGCCCTGCAGAGGCCTACGCACAGAGGCGGACAAAGGGCTGCCCACATAACGTTATCCTTTTCTACTTTATTACTTCAAATTAACAACCACAATAAAGCTCAAAAAAGCCCGATATTTACACAGGAAAAAAGTACAAAATTCCCCCAAAAGTTCTTCAGTATTTTTTTTTTCAGTTTTTTTAAATTACAAAGTAATAAAAAGCTTTGCTCTTTAATTAAAAAAAAAAAAGGAGAAGAAAACAAGGGGAAACAGAGGTAAATAAATTAGGAAACGGGAAGAAACAAACAAAAATAAAAACAGAGACTGGAGAGGAGGAGGAAGGACGGCCAGACCCCACACCTGGCCTGACCCCCGTGGCTCCTCCCCAGAGAGGCCAGCCGGGAAGGGGCCAGGCGACTGTCAAGACCTGGGAGTGAATTAACCCAAGAGCCGGAAGCTTCTGGAAGGGGTCTCCACAGACCGGGAATGGGTGTGAGGGGCTGTCACAGGCTGATGACAGTATGGGGGCAGTGGGGCGGTAAGCACCCTGAGTCTTCTCCTTCAGGGACCTGGAGGTCACTGCCTACCCCGTGTCCTTGTCTGGGGGAGAAACAGAAACGCCATCTGGCAGGTGTGTCTGGAGCACCTGCTGTCCAGGGGAACACAGGTCACAGACAGACACACACGCACCAGGACACCCGGCCGCTCCTGCCTCTCCACGGGCTTCGGAAGGTCTTCCTGGGGAGGTGTGGGAGGGCCCCAAAGGCTCAGGGGAGGGGTCCCTGGGAAAAGCTCAACATGGGGGGGTCGGCCACCGTCATCTTGGAGGGGGGCGGGCTGTGCTGTGTCCTGGGGCTCTGGGCTCACCGACGTCCGGTGGGATGAAGCCCGCTGCCCTCTACCACCCACCCAGACCCCCTCCTTGGGGCCTGGTCCGCAGGCCCCTCCCGATGGCCCGGAGCGCCGCTGCATCTTCAACACCGAGAGCTTCCCATCCAGCTGGGGCCCCAGTGGAGGCCAGGCCGGGGTGGGGGTGGGGCCTTGGCATGTGGCACGTGCAGCCTGGCATCGAGGGAGCGTTTGGCAGCCTGAAGGTTGGGGTGGCGGGGAACGCAGGGGAGAGTCCTCTGTGGGGAAGGCACCCCATCTCTGAGCCGTTGGCAAAAATGAAAATAATCAAAGGAAATCCATCGCGGGGTTGGTGCTGGGTGTTTTCTTCTTGTGTTATTTTCCCCCCATCTCTTTTGTTTGTTTTTAAAACAAAAATACAGTGAAGACACTAGGAGAAAGGCAAAAAAGGAGTGAGATCAGGTGCCAGATGGCATCTGGCCACCTCCCCCACCCCAACCCCCCTGCAGCTCACGCCACTTGTCCTTCCGGGCCCCCGAGCCTGGCTCAAGGCCCAGCCCACAGCCAGTGCGCGGACATGGACTCCCTGTCCCTGTTGTCCTCTCAGGGAGAGGTGACTCCTCCCACCCCTGCCCGCCCTGCCCTGGGCCTGCGCACTGCTCAGGGGAGCCTGGGTCGTGTCCCAGCTCTGCTGGGGGAAAGTATCTCTACAAGGCAAACCGCCCGCACGGTGTCCTGCTGTGAGCCCAGGCCCTGACATGGACCCTCAGCCTGCCAGGAGTCCAGGCTGAGCTTCAGGCAAGCCAGGCCTCCCTCCCGGGCTGCTCGGGCCTGTCCTGAGGGTTGACAGCGAGAAGCCTGCTCGAAAGCCCAAGACTGGGAGCTGTCACGCTCGGCAGGGCCCTGGAGGCCAAGCAGGGGCCCCTGGTCCTGCCTCTTCAAAGAGCAATTTCTCAGATTATGTTACGGTGGTGGGGAAGGGAGGGCAGTTTTCCAAGAGAAATGGCCCTGGGCGGGCCAGGCCAGGGCTGACGCCTCCATGGCAGGACCGGAGGTCTTTAGCTCCCCTGAGGCCCGTGGGCTTGGGGGCTGCCCAGTTCCACCCACCTGTCCCACACGGCTTCCTGCTGGGCTGAGCCTTCTGCTAATACTCACTCACCTAAGCAAACACTGTGTGGAGGTGGCCTCTCCTCACTTCCCCAGGTGGTCAAATGGCACGCTTGTCTTCGGGGAGGGGACACGAGGGAGGGAGGAATAACAGGTTAAGTGGCTGACGGTGATGGTTTGGCTGATCTCATCCCACTGTGAAGCCCCCACCAAGCCCCTGAGCCAGCGGACAGGTTCGGAGATCTCCTGGACCCAGAGGACCTCTACCCTGGAGGTCAGGAGTACAGGGCCCAGAGATGGCCGTGACCACTGCTGGCACCTGCAAGCCATCGGCCCCTGGGCTCCACTTCCGGATCCGGATGCCCAGACTCCCAGCTCTCCGCCACCCTGCGGAGTGGGAGGGGGGAACCAGGGCAGATGGCCCTGTGTGCCTGTCAGCACACCTGCTCTGGGCCACATGACCCCCCCCCCCAACTTTCCTACATCAAACATGGCAGCCAAGTGGGGTCAGGGAACTAAGTCCTGCACTCTTATCTATGCTGACTGGGGCCCCCAGGGACTTCCTGCCAATGGGTGCAGTAAGTATCTCTTCCAAGGCCCCTGGCATCCATCCAGGATAGCCTGGGATCCCATGCACTCCCTCGCTTAGTGATGAGACCCCAGGAGGTTACATACCACCCAGGGCTTCCCCAGCACAAAGGGATGACTAGAGGATACTACCAACTCAGAGGCCAGGAAGGACAAAGCGAACCCGGGTGGGACTTGGGATTGGGGGAGGACGGGCCGGGTCTGGGATGCAGGCGCTCACCTGTGAAGCTGAAATCCGGGAGACCTCTTGCCGCCCAGTGAGGTCGGAGGACGAGACGTTGGCAGGAGCACCCCTGTGTAGCCTCATACTCACCTTCCTCTCCCTGTCGACCCGCGAGATCGCTCTGGGAGAAGTATTGCCTGCAGGACAACGGGAGGCCAGCCTCAGCCCCAGTCTTCAGCCTCAGCCCCAGCCCCCAGTCTCAACCCTCAATCTCAGCCCACCACCCCTGCTCTCACCAGCTTGCTGGATGCGGGAGGCTGGGGTCGAGCTCACGGGTTCGGCGGCACTGCGGAGCCGGTTGGCAGTGGCCCCTGTGGGGGGGCCAGGGGGCAGGGCTCGGGTGGCGGACCCCCGCAGCTGCCCCATCCTCTCCTCGCGCTCGTGTTCTCGCCGCTCCCGGTCCATGTCCTCGGGGTTCCGGGCTGCACCCTGTGGGACCGGAGAGAAGATATGGCTTCAACTCTGAGGCCAGGGTGCTGGGGACTCACAGTCCTGCAGGGCAGGGCAGCATCTCAGAGACCCTTGCCACCGAACCCCCACAGACCAGGAAAACAAGCCCCACAAGGCCTGGAAATGACCCAGGATCACACACACAGCTTAGAGAAAGCCACACCACCTCCCGAGAAGGCAGGGCGGCTGAGGGCCCTAGGAGGGCCCAGGACACTGAGCAGGGCGGGGCCCTGGGCCCCTTGAAGCTTTCAAACCCAGCAAGGCACGTGTTCAGAGGGCCACCGGCCGAGAGACCAGCAAGGTTGGGAGAGGACACCGCCCCCAGTTAGAAAGCTCACTGGAGGCAGGGTCCAGCCTTGATCCAGGTCTCCTGCGGCCCTGACGAGAGCCCTGCCCCCAGCCCAGGGCTGTCCTTTCCACTCTGAGATGCACAGCCCCTGCCAGGTGGGAGCTCAGGGAGCCAGAGCAGAAATAGGGCTAGAGGCCGCCATGGAAGAGAAAGAGCGGGCGTCCCGAGCCCTGGGGCTGCCCTCCAGAAGTTCAGAGAGAAGAGGTGCAGGAGGGCACCTGGTGGGTTACCTAGTTGGTCCTGGGGCCATCCACGGGGAAGGGCAGGGGGCTGCATCTGTGGAGGAGAGAGCTGTGGGCTGAGTGGTTGGCCCGCCCCTTGCTGCCCCTGGAGCGCTGCCGACCCCTCCTCTCAGCAACTCTGGGATCAGCCTGATCCCTGAATGTGAGCCAGAAGGTGGGACCCAGAGAGGACTGGTGACCTGCCCGGGGTCACACAGGGCACAGCTCAGGGGCGGAGCTGAAATCTGATCTCAGGCCTGTGTCCCAGGACCCACTCTGCACCCCTGGCTGGCTCGGTTCAAAGACCTGTCCTGGGGTGGGGGGTACTCCTGCGTAGGCCATGCCCCTCATCCTGGTCCATCCACCCAGTGCCTTGTCCAGGCAGGCCCCGGCACTGCCAGGGCTCCCTGCTACCCTCCCACACCACTCACAGTCACAGGCTGACGTGAGCAAGTTCCCACTTCTCAGCTGGGGAAACGGGGGCGCAGTGACTCGCTCAAAGGTGGCACACTCTGGGACCAGCAATGGAGGGGAAGGCTTTGGCAGTTTGCTGCTTGGCCCCTCCCCACACACCCCGCGGCACCTCAAAAACCACACACCACAGCGCCTTCTCGGCCTTTATTTGCCAACAAATGTAAAAGAGCAGCATAGTCACACTGTGCGCTCCCCCTCCCCCAGTGCCGCGTGGCTCCTTCCTCGGCTGGGCTCACTTCCTCCTGGCTGGCCTGAGGGATCTGGAAACAGTGGCTCCAGGCTCCCACTCCTGAGACGCCATGCACCCTGGGGTGCTGCTCCAGGACGGCAGCTCTCCAACAGGGTCCTTTCCAGGGAGGGTTTGCAGCTCCAGGTCCCCCAAGGAGACCTGTCCGAGGAAAGGCACTTTCTGCGACAGTGCCTGGTCACAGGGTGAGGGCGTGGAAGCTTCTCCTAGAGGCTCCTTTAGTCAAGACGCTCACGGTTTGGTCCAGAGAAGAAGGCTGCTGGCGGATTGGCCCAGCTTCTGACTTGAGGGTCTGTCCCCACCCAGGAAGGTGGTCAGAGTGCCTGGCCCGGCTTGAAAGAACCCGGTCTTGTTGGTGCACAGTCCCAGGTGAGGTCCTTCGAGCTGTGTTCTAGAATGTTCTGCGATCACATGAGGGCCCATCTCCTGGAGCTGAGGACCACTTGGGGAATCTGAGGACTTGAGCCGTGGCGGCGAATGTGACCAAAGAGCTTTATTTCCCAGGCCATTTGTGTTCACTCATTCCAGTAGCCTCCAGTAGCCAGTGGCTGCCATAGCGGACAGCTAAAACTCTGCACGCATGGGTGTCTATGGCGAGGAGCTGTTGTGCCTGGGCCCTTGGCCTCACTTCCACCCCCACCCTGCCCCCAGCAGGGGGGCAACAGAAGCCTCCTCTGAGGTCCTTGGGCTGTGGAACCCCTGCTGTGTGTGCCAGGTCCCTCCCAGTTGGTATCCTGGAGAGCCAGCCTCGGTCCTGAGCGTCCTCGGCTGATGGCAGCGCCAGGCAAGGAGGGCCACACCAGGGTACAGCAGCGACTTTAATGGGTTCCGGTGCAGTACAGGGGCTGCCAGCTGGGCCTAGCTGGGGAGCCTTCTCCCGACGCCTGTGCCCCTCAGGACCCTCCAGGGTGATGGCTGTCACCGCTCCTCCAGCTGTCCAGGCCCTCAGGACACTTCATCGCCCTCCGGCCTTCTTCTCCAGCCACGCCCACTCCACAGCACGCTGCCTTTCGGGTGCCCGGTCACCACCCCCACCCCATGGGACACCTCCTTGGCATCTGGCACTTGGTGACATCAGGACTGGGTCCCGGGGTCCAGACTACAGGCCAATAGCTTTGGGGGGGCAGCTCCTCCAGCTCCTCCGCCTCCTCCATGAGCCTATCTGGGGGGGCCTGGGTGCCCAGGGGCGCCGGGCACCTGGAAGGGACAAAGACAGCGCACAGGTCTCAGCCTCCTGGGCTCACCCAGCCAAGGGCCAAGTCGTGGAAAGGCTAGGCTTTGGAGGGGGGTCCTTACCAGTATTCGGGTGGGTTCGTGGGCCCAGCGCAGGGACGGGGGCGGGGGGAGGGTGGTGCAATGGCTTCACTGTCACGGGGCTGAGCCCGGCTCGGAGAAGCCCCCTTTTCCAGAAGAGATTTGAAACAAGACATACGGACGATGTCACAGCCTCCAGAGCCAGGCACAGCTGGCCAGCGACGCCCCCCACCCCCCAATATACCCTGACCACCAGGACCCTTAAAAGAGGGAAAGCGAATGGCTGCCGAGCAGGACCCAAGGTCCCATGACCAGGACGAAAGACACCAGCATGGAAGGGTCCAAGCTGGCTGGGGGGTGCCCGGCGAGGGGGGCAGCCTGGGAGGCGCACAGCAGGACGAACAGAAGGGTGTAGGTGACGATCAGGGCAGCAGGGAGGCTCGCCATTGTCACCCACTCCCTGCCAAGGGTACCTAGGAGGGACCTGATGCCCATCCAGGAGAGGCTCACCCTGCTGCAAGATGGGGGGTGCCCACGGCCAGCACCGATGAATGAGGCGGAGAGGTGGCTGGGGGGCGTTGGGACCCCTGCCAGGTCGCTCGCACCGTCTAGCTCATAGCTGCCGCTGCTCGGGAGCCCCGCCCGCCACCGGGTCACTCTGACCTTCTGAGTCAGGGTCTGCCCTGTCCAGCCCCCCAAGCCCGCCTTGGCCGCCGGGGGACTCACGAATTTGAGCATGTTCCAGTCGAAGACGTAGTCGTAGGAGAAGCCCTGCCGGTGGAAGAGGTTTCGGAAGAGCTGGCGCAGGTACGAGTAGTCGGGCTTGTCGTCGAACCGCAGGGAGCGGCAGAAGTTGAGGTATGTGGAGAACTCGGCTGGCGGGGAGACAGGGAGACCATGGCGAGGTCACGCTCCCATGCACCCCAGCAGCCGGGGTTGTCCTACCCTGCCCACTGTCCCTGCAAAAACTTTCCGTCCAATGGGGGGGGGGGGGCAGGGGCCAGATGAAGGTGGGCTAGAACGAGGGGACCCAAGGTGACGAGCAGAGCCACTGGAGGTGTGATGGCAGCCCGCCCGGGGGACCAGTAGACAAAGAGTCGCCGGCCTCTTCCCGTAAGCTGGCTCTGAAGGAGCAATGCTCATGACTCCCCCCTTGCTCTGTGGAACCTTTGGGGCCCTGGGGGTGTTGCAGGTGGGTGGCTGTGCGACCAGAAGCCCACGGGACGCCTCTCAAGAACCAGGACAGGAGGAAGCACATTCACTTCTCTCTCAAAGACCCAGAGAGCTTGGCGGGCAGGAGCTGAGGAGCTGGCGGGAGGCCCTGGGAGACCAGGCGGAGTGGGTTGGAGGAGACTGAGCTCCACAGCCCAACGGGGGAGTGTCTGTGCATGCTCCCTGGACCTGCCCAAGGCATTGTGGGACCCTCCTCTTCCCCAGGGCGGGCCCTGCCCCTCGCGCAGACTCACAGGGGTAACCTTTGCACAGGGCCTCGATGGGCGTGGACATCTTCTTCTCGCTGATGCGTTCGTACTTCTGGCGCTTGGTGGCGGCCTTGAGGCCCTGCCAGGGCAGGGAGCCCAGGTTGAAGTACATGAGCACGTAGCCCAGGCTCTCCAGGTCATCCCGGCGGCTCTGCTCTGTAGAGGAGGGGGAGGAGCGGGGTGAGGCCGAGGGCCTGGACAGATGCCTTGATGCCCTTCCCGGAGGAGGGTGTGATAGCTAAGGTTTACTGTGCCAACCTGGCCAATGAGCACTTGTGGGGTTAACTGAAGGGCGGAGAGATAAATGGCTCAGTGAGCCTCGCCTGGCTGGTCTTTTGTTCTCTGGTGGTTGGACCGGTGTGCAGCTGCCCTGGCTAGTTCTCTGCCTCAGCTGGCAAGGCTCACTTCCTGCGAGACATCCCTAAGGAGAAGCCACACAGACCTACGCTGATGCAGCCCTGGGTGCTGGAGCAGCCGCGTGGAGATGCCTGCCTGCCGCTGAGATGCTTACACAACCACTGGATTCAAAGACTTTCTACCCACTGGTCTGTGATCGTCCTACATTCGGCGCCATTGCATGTGTTTTGTGAGTTTGAGGAGGACTCTGTAGATTGGTGTCGGACATATGGGCTAATGTTGGACTCGCAGGCTTGGACTGGACTGGGTTGGGATGCTTTCTTAATGTACACTTTATATAAAACTCTCTCTCTCATACACATAAGTTTCTGTAGATTTGTTTCTCTGGTCTACCTGGACTAACTTGAGGGGACACACCCGCTTCAGGCCCCCTGACCACACGGCAGCCCTGGCTTTAGCAGAGAAGGGGCTTCGGGCTCCAGATCTCTCTAGTCAACCAGCCCAGGCCTCTACCCCACTCAGCAACTCTGCAACCAGGGCCCTCCTCGCCCGGCCGGCCTGGGGTCAGAACAGCATAACCTTAAGCCCCCTGGGTGACCCACTCAAAGCCGCCCGACCTCATGCCTGTGCCAAGGGCATGCCCAGATCCCTCCCAAGGCTGCTGGAAGGCAGCGGTCAGGCCCCTGGGGCTGACCCATGGACACAGGTCTCGGCTGGGGCAGGGGGCTCTCAGAGGGAGGGGCCCCTGGGGGCATGGCCAGAAGCAGCCGCCTGGCACGCACCGATGCCCAAGTGGGTGTTGATGGAGGCATAGCGGGCCGTGCCCGTCAGGTTCTTGTTTTCCCGGTAAGGGATGTGCTGGTGGGTGCGGGCGTCCCGGTACTTCTTGGCCAGGCCGAAGTCGATGATGTAGACCAGGTTGCCCTTCTTGCCCAGCCCCATGAGGAAGTTGTCCGGCTTGACGTCCCGGTGGATGAAGTTCTTGGAGTGGATGTACTCGATGCGGCTGATCTGCGGGATGGCAGAGACACTCAGCAAGCGGGAGACAGGGGGCCCCAACGGGGTGGAGTGGGCTGGGCTGGGGGCTGGGGGAGCAGGCCCCATCCTAGAAAACCCACACGGGGTCCTCGCTCTGGGCTGGGGAGGAGAAAATCTGTCTCTGGACTAGGCATGGAAATGTCACAGGAAGGGGCTTCCTGGAGGAGGTGACATCTGAGATGGGTCCTAGGGAGGAGTTGGCCAAGTCTGCACGGGAATGTGTACGCATGCACGTGAGAGGATGGAGGGAGGATGAGCAGAGAGAAAGGTCGGAAGGCTGACGCTGGCCAGCCCCAGACACACAGCTGGGCAAGGAAGCCGGGGGCTGCTGCGGGACCTCTGCCCGCCCCTGGGATACAGGGAGCTGGAGTTAGGGGGAGCTCTGGAGGGAGGGCGGGGGTGACTCAACCCAGGCTCGGTTGAATCTACAAGACTTGTCTCCTGGCCACCAAAGGACAACGAAGTCAGGTGGACACCACACCCCTTCTCTGGGTTGTTGGGAGCTGGGAGGCAGGCAGGAGGGCTGGGACAGTGAAGGCTGAGCCGCCCAGAGGTCACCAGGCGGGGGGTGGCTGGTGGGGCTCACCATCTGGTCGGCCAGCAGCAGCACCGTCTTGAGGCTGAACTTGCGGGAGCAGAAGTTAAACAGGTCCTCCAGGCTGGGCCCCAGCAGCTCCATCACCATGACGTTGTAGTCGCCCTCGGCACCACACCACTTGATGGACGGGATCCCCACTGGGGGCCAAGCAGGGGGCTCCATCAGGGGATGCCCAGCCCAGCCCTCAGACTGCCCACCCTCCTGCTGCCCTTGAGAACGACCAACCGACAGGCAGGCGTGCGCACACACACGGCCCCTCGCTGCCCCCTCACCTCCTCCCTGCATCATCTTGTAGAACTTGCTCTCGATGTGCAGCTGGGGGTGCTTTGTCTTCACACACTCCAGCTTGATGGCCACCTCTTCCCCGGATGCAATGTTGGCGCCTGCCCGTGGGGGAAGCCGAGAGGGACCAGGGTGTCAGCCTTGGCTGGCAGCCCCCAATAAGGGACAAAACTGAAGCTGCCCGGCCTAAGTTGGAAGGGGGGCGGAGCGAGGCTGGGGCACAAGCAGCCTGGTGGAGATGGGGTGTTGCATCCTCGGGGCCAACCCTGTGCGGCGGGGCAAGACCCGACAACTGTGGACCCCACGGTTAGCAGGAGGCTTGGCGGATGACCTAAAGGTTGCTGGTTCTGGTCCACCCAGAGGGCAGCAAAGGCCTTCACCCCCACTTTACAGATGCGAGGACAGAGACACAGGCCTCCCCGTCTAGGGAGGAGGGGTCTGGTGGCATCTCCGCTTCTTCCCTCCCGCACCCCGGCTTCTCACCTGCAGCCCTGGGGACTCTGCATAAAGAAATGCCTTCCCGCAAAGCCCAGCCCAGTGTTCAGGAAGTCACAACAGCACCTGCTCCCTTGCCTCAGTTTCCCCAGTGAGCAGAACTGGTCTGAGCGACAGGGAGTCTCCTCCTTAGGGCCAGAAGCCACTCTGGCTCCAGTGATTGAAGTAGGGTGGTGCTAAGGAGGGAGCCTTGGTGGTGCAGCGGGGCAAGGGCTCGGCTGCCACCCCAAAGGCTGGTGGTTTGAGCCCACCAGCCGCTCTGCAGGAGAAATACAAGGCACACCTGCAACCTGTAGAGATTTACAGTCTCGGATCCCCTGCACACAGTGCTACTCGGTCCGACAGGGTCACTGGGAGTCGGAACCGAGCGGACGGCAGTGGGTTGGGTTTGGCTCGGTCCAAGGGACCTCACAGGCAGGACAGGAAATCCAGGAAGAGCTATAACTCAGTAAGAATTCAGGATGAAGCCGGCACCTCAAGTCGGGGGAAGATGGAACTAAACTATAAATGTCGCTGGAGCAACTGGGTACCATCTGGGGGAAAGAGACACAGCACCGTCCCTCACACCACGCTCTGGGAAAGTCTCAAGCCAGCAAAGCCTCTGTGTTTAACCAAGGAGAAAGAAAAGCAGACGTGTAGTAGCCTGAGTTGCGTCCCACCCCCATCCCAATAGATGGCCACTTGGCTGGACCATGATTCTCGGTGGTCTGGCAGCTGTGTGATGATACCGTTATCCTCCAAGATGGGATCTGCTGTGATCTGCCCATCAGTGGGCAAAGGATCAGGGGCCAGGTGGGATGGCACACCCTTACTTGGGCAGGTCACTGCCCTGATCCACGCATGAGGAGCTTCCCTGAGGGGTGGACCCTGTCACCTTGCATCTTACAAGAGGGAAACAGGACACAGTGACCAGAGAGAGACTCAGAAAGAAGAGCCGGATGAAGCATGTCCTTTCGACCCCAGGGTCCCTGTGGTGAGAACCTCCTAGACTCGGGGGAAGACGAAGACACAGGGAGATTCCCAGGGATGCCGGGGCCCACAGGTGCTGAAAGCAGACAAAGACCCTTCTCCGGAGCCGACAGAGGGTGGAAGCCTTCCCTGGGTGGTATGTGGAACAGCAGTGCCGAGGACCTCAGTGCGGGTAGAACCACTCTGAAAACCAGTATGATGTTTATCTTGTGACTTCGAACACTCGTAGGCCCAGCCTAGACCTCACCCAGGTACAGTCCCTCAGAAGTGCACGTGCACTGGGCCAAATGGATGGGGGACCCTGTCGAAGGTGATGCAGTCACGTAATGGGGTGCTACAGGGCAGCAAGCAGGACCGGACCTGGAGGTGGGCCTCACTCAGCCACGCAGGCAACTCCAGGATATTAACACAGCACAGACCAGAGCCAGAGCCAGAGCACACGAGCCAGAAGGCGGCCTGCTGGATTCGAAGCCCCTGTCAGCAAAACTCGGTGACCGTGGGGCTGATCCTGACTCCTGGCGCCGCCGCTGTGTTCCAGGAGGCTCTCAGGGGCTGGGTTTTGGGAAGCAAACTGCCAGGCATTTTCTCTGAAGGGCCTCCGGGTGGGTTTGAACCTCCAACCTTTAACCAGAAACCAAACAACACACGCATATCCCTTGAGTGGGCTCTGACACATCTTGAACGCGAACATTCAGCTCTGTGAATATAACTTAGGACTGTGAGTAAAAGTCTCTTAGCGAGGCCCTGGGGAAGGAAGAGGAGCTTGGATGCTGAGTTAGTTAATTGTGCCAGCCTGGCCGATAATCACATGTGGTGCTGGTTGAAAGGCGGAGGGATAGATGGGTGGTGAAGCCTCGCCTTTCTAGTTCTCAGGTCTCTTGTTTTGTGATGGTCGCATCAGGGTGCAGCTGCCTTAGCAGTTCCCTGCTTCAGCTTGCAAGATTGACTTCCTACAAGACATCCCCAAGGAGAAGCCACATGGACCTATCCCGATGCAGCCCTGGGTGCTGGAGCAGCCGTGTGGAGACCCCTGCTAGTGCTGAGATGCTTGTTCGTTCACTGACTCAGCTTTCCTCCTGCAGTCAGCGTCATTGCCTCTGTTTTGTGAGGTGGAAGACTTTGTGGACTAGTGTTGGGTTAATGGGTTAATGTTGGACTTGCGGGCTTGGGCAGCATTTGGGTTGGGATGTTTTCATGATGCACCTTTTCTTTACATAAAACTCTCTCTTATACATGAGTCGCTGTGGATTTGTTTCTCCAAAGTACCTAGACTATTACAGATGCTAACGGAAAGGTTGGTGATTCAAACCCAGCAGCTACTCTGTGGGGGAAAAAAGAGGCCCTCTGCTTCGGTACAAGCCGTGGAAGCCCCGTGGGGCAGTGTGAATCTGTGCTATGGGGCCACGCCGGCTGTGATCCAAAAGGGGGGCAGTTCCAAGCCACCTGCTGCTCCTTGGGAGAAAGATGGGACTTTCTACTCACGTCAACAGTTACAGTCTCGGAAGCGCTGGGGCCGTTTTACCCTGTCCTGCATGTCGCTGTGAGTCAGCATCGACTGGGTGGTTGTGAGCTTTGTTTGAGTTTTTACAGGGTTGCTCTGAATTGGAACAAATTTGGTGGCAATGGGATTTTGGGTGTAAAGCCAAGGAATACATCCAAAAGTCAGATTATAGCTACCCGTGGGTGAGAGAGGCAGGGGTGGGGCAGGGGAGGGACACCTGGGGGCCTTCTACCTCCCTGACAAGCATGCCCTCCTTCTTCAAAGTCAATAGTGGGAGGGGCAGGGATGCCTTAAAAGCAGGCCCGTGGGGAGGGAAGGGGGGATGGGGATGGAAAGCAGCTGACACCGAGGGCTCAACAGAAAATAAATGTCTAGAAAAGAATGATGGCAACATATGTAAAATGTGCTTGATACAATGGATGTATGGATTGTTACAAGATCTGTAAGAGCCCTCAATAAAATGTTTTTTTGTTTCGTTTTCTTTAAAAAAATGCAGGCGGTGTCTTATATCTCTTCTTTTGTACTCACTCAGCTCTCAAACTCGCTGCCATGCAATTGATTCCCCGTGGGGCAGAGTAGAACTTCCCCTTGTGGGTTTCCGAGATTAACTTTTTGTTTTAAAGATCACTTTATTAGAGGCTCTTGTAACAATCCACACATAAATTGTATCAAGCCTAGTTGTACATACGTTGCCATCATCCTTCCCTGAACACTTACTTTCCACTTGAATCTTTGATATCAGTTCCTCTTTTTTCCCTCCCTCCCCCAGACTAACTCTTGATGGGCGCTGAAAGCCCCTTCTCTCTCCAGGTCCGCTCGGCAGTGGGTGGAAAACGGAACCAATGAGACCGTGGGGGCTCTGAGGCTCTCCATCCCCGACTTAAACCCACACAAGGGTCCCTTCTCACACGCTCCCACACGGCAGTAACTCGGGAAACAGAGTCAGAAGCAACACCCCC